CAGGCCCACTGACTGTTCCAGGCCCACTGACTGTTCCAGGCCCACTGACTGTCCTTTGTGTCCTCCTGCCCGACTGCATGTGCTGATCCCAAGCGCTCTCTACGATCCTTCCTCTGTCTCCTGACCTCCCTCTTCTCAAAGCTTCTGCTGACCCCAGCACCACCTGCCCTGGGCTCCTGAACGTGACTCCTCACTCTGTCTTTCAGCTTCTGCCCCAGCCGCCGATGCTACATGGCTCACTCGCAAAGCAGTGGTTTTAATGAGCCTGACTAGTCTAACAGCCTAGTCTCTAAGCCACCTCCTAGGCCACTGGCAAGTCTACACACGTCTATGCCTTGGCTTTTCTTAAACCAATTGCCCACCTCTAACTCAACAAATTATGGACTAGATAGCAGGGTCACCTGAGATAACATGACACATAATGAACTATATTTAAGGAAATACCTTTTTGGGGGAACTCTGTGCACCTCAGGGACTCTGAGGTTTCCTAGAAAGAGCCAGTGTACATAGAAAACACCTTGCTTGGGTTGTCTGATGTAAGAGTCGGTGGGAAAACCTGAATTCCAGATCTGGCTATGAAAATGGCTAGTTCATAACTTGGCAAAACATTTCAGCTTTCTTTGTCTTATTGTTTTCACCTTATATTGAAAGTTAGAAGGTAATACTTAGGGTCCCTTCCAGCCCAGACTTGCTAAAGGGAAAAATCGGCTTTTGTATATGTATATTGTGATCCCATGCTTGTGTATTTTTGTGTGTGTGTTCGTTTATATGTTGATATAGTGTTCTGATAACAGAAAAGATAAGAAAGTGTCATTGAACACTCAAGAGAAGTAATTACTGAAAAATGTAAGAGAAAGAGATGGAAAGATACTAGTGTGAACTCACTCACTTTTGCTCTCAGTTCCAGTGTCCCGCCCCGTCCTCACCCTCGGGGCTCCCGGGGCCCAGGCTGTGGTGGGGGACGTGCTGGAGGTTCGCTGTGAGGCCCACAGAGGCTCTCCCCCAATCCTGTACCGGTTTTATCACGAGGATGTTGCCCTGGGGAGCAGCTCAGCCCCATCTGGAGGAGGAGTGTCCATCAACCTCTCTCTGACTGCAGACCGTTCTGGAAACTACTCCTGTGAGGCTGACAATGTCCTGGGAACCCAGCACAGTAACACAGTGTCACTCAGTGTCACAGGTAAATGGAACCTTCCAACTTCAGCACAACCAGGGACAGACATCTCCCCAACTTCCCCAGCAGCTGAGATCCACAGGGCCACCGGCTGTGTGACATCGTAGCAGGCCTGCTGCTTACGCAGCTTCCATCTGGGTGTTCTGGGTTCAACATTTTCAGGAACTTGAACCTTCCCTTTGCTTGCTACCTTTCCTGTAGCAACATTCCAGCCATCATGACCAAAATGTCCCTATCGTAGGGATAAAGGTTTTCAAAACACAAACTACATCCTGGTCAACAATGACCAACAGGAAAGGAAATTATAAAGTTCACATGTCACCTCAGAAGATACTGAGTTGGGGTTTCCTCTGTCACTCAATAAAAAGGCCAACAGGTCCCTGTCCCAGAGCAGCTCTGGTCCCCACCCAGAACTCTTGCTAAATGACACCTCAACATCATTCTCCTGACCCTCCATGTCCCTATTCCATGCACCTATAGCACCGTCTTCCGCCTGGCCCTGCCGTGGGCTCACTTCCTAGTCTTGCCCACTTTCAGTGCAGGCTTTGGTCATAGTCCTCCTCTCCCCATGCCATCCTGCCATCATTCCATGCATTTAATACCCACATGGCTGACCCACTAACCACCATGGCTGCCACCCTCTCCACATCGGCCACCTGCTCCCACACACACACACACACACACACACACTCCGAAGATCGAACCACAACCTCCTGTCCTTCCATGTGCTTCTTCATTTCCCCAATCACTGTTGTTCTCACACCTCAACAGAACCCCCAGTTCCACACCTCTACTCCCTCCCAGACAATGACCCCCTCGACTGCCACCATCACACTGTCTGTCACTGTATCCATCCAGAAACTCACCCCTCTCTTCCTCAGGCAGAGAGGAGAGGACTCTGCTCCCATGAAAGGTGAAAATCTCCGCCTAATCTCCACATTCCATCTTTTCTTACATTCTCAGAAGGTTGGGACAACTGGCTGTGCCCCTCTCTTCAGCGTCTCCTTCTCTGTAGGAGCCTTCCCACTGATATTCACATGCTGGTTATCCCCCATGCCTAAGAAAAACCCTCATTTGCTCCCACTTATGATTATTAGGCTTTATTATGGCCAGACTTCCAAAAGGAGTCAGCTGCTCAAGTTATCTCCATTTCCTCATTACCCACTACGTTATGATCCATTGGTTTTTCTTCTGAACCAAAATGATTCTCACAAAGGTCACCAATGAACTCCGTGACTTTAAATGCAATGGCCATTTTCCAGTCCTCATCTTATCTGACCTCTCAGAAATAGCCCATATATTTTACCTTTTCTGCCCTCTTGAAACCCTTCCTTCCTTAGCTTCAGGGACTGCACCCTCTCCTGCTCTCCTCTCTCCCCCTACTTCTCCGTCTCCTTTACTCTTTCCTCCTTTTATAGACAAGCTTAGCATTGGTGTGTTCCAGAGCTTTGTGCTGCATGCACCCTCTTCTCTTATTTTTATTCTTTCTCTGGATGAGCCTAGGATGTCATCTATAAATGATCCCCAAACTTCAGTTTCCAAAGGAGACCTCTCACCTGAGCACCTGCACATTCTATACCTCTTCTCAACTATCTTAAAAGCTCATGAGCCTGAACTTCTGTAAAACTGAACTCACGGTATTTGCCCCAGACCTGTTCCTCTCCCCAGTGTCACTACCTCCATGACAGACGCATCCATTCATCCAGGTATACAAGGCAAAAACTCAGGAGTTGTCCTTGACATTTCTCCCCCTTGCTCTTCATAGCCAATTAATCATTAAGTCCTGTTGACTTTACTTCCTGAAAACTTCTTGGATCTTTTCTGTCTCTCCTACCACTGTCCTAGTCAGATTTCAATGCTTGCAATTACACCTCTCCACTCCACTTCTGTCTCACTGATCAGAATGGTCTTTTAAAATGACCAATTGATCCTCTCAAGCCCACATACAGATAGGGCTCTATGAAGAAGGATCAAAATCCTTACAGTGGCTTATGACACCCTGCCTAGCTCTCTGGACTCCTGTGTCATGAAATTTTTCAGATGCCTCTCTTAATGCTGCTATCACTTTTTTTCAATAACTCAAAAGTTCCAACCTTTTTTCCAACTAAGTGTTTTTGCACATATTGTTTTCCTGCCTGATGTTTTCCTCACTTCCTTCTTCACCTGGTTGATTCTGAATGTCACTGTGAGGAAACATGCCCTGACTAACCCTTACCGGATCAGGCCCCAGGATTATAAATTTCATGACATCTTATTCTTTGCTTTGTATCAATTACCAATGCTTTGATTCTTATTTAATCACTGGCTATTTTATCTTCCAGACTGTAAGCTTCATGAGAGCAGGGATTGTGCCTTTTATCAAATCCACAACATAATAGTATGGTTTCTGGGACTTACTAATTGCTCAATTAATGTCTGCCAAATGAACAAATATCAAAATGAGCAAATAAATTAATCAATGCTCATTCTCTCACAGTCGCATTTCTGATGTAGCCAGGCTCAGTTACAACCTAAGCAACAGGACCGTCCCATTCCTTTTTCTTTTGAATTGATTGATCTTTCTCCCCCTATTGTCTTTTGACTTCTTAGATACTTAGGTTTCAATTTAAGCTTTGTTTTCAAGTCCCCCAAACACCATTGAGATTGTAGTAGTCTGAACTATATTCAGCACTAGACGAATGTTACTGTTTCTTCAAATCTGGAGAAATTACAGCTGAGTTCTAAGTGATGCCACAAGGTTATTATTACACATTGAGAAAAATAATTTCTTGTTTGCAATGTCTTTCCTGCAGAGGAATATATTTAAACTGTACGAACTGATGGTTAACTCATTTTCCTCCCTCAGTTCCAGTGTCCCGCCCCGTCCTCACCCTCAGGGCTCCCGGGGCCCAGGCTGCAGTGGGGGACGTGCTGGAGCTCCGCTGTGAGGCCCAGAGAGGCTCTCCCCCGATCCTGTACCGCTTTTATCACGAGGATGTTGCCCTGGAGAGCAGCTCAGCCCCATTGGGACGAGGAGTGTCCATTAACCTCTCTCTGACGGCAGAACATTCTGGAAACTACTCCTGTGAGGCTGACAATGTCCTGGGGGCCCAGCGCAGTGAGGTTGTGACATTCTGTGTCATAGGTGAGTGGGTCCACAAACCGCATAATGAAGGACTGCCCAGCTTCCCTCCCCAGCAGATGCAATGGAGCTCCAGCAGTCGGGGCCCCCTGAAAGTCTGGGCTCTTTCCTGTAATTACAGTTGCAAGCACTGGACCTTCCCAGCAGCAACATTCAAGCAGTCTTCTTGTTGTGATCAAAACTCCTTACTAAAATGCAAAGGCTTTTTAGAACATAGACTCTATGCCAATCTGCACTTATGATACAAAAGGGAAGTTAAAGAATTCTGAGTATGCATTTCTGTGCTCCAAAAATGGCTTGACCATTGCTTGTCTGAGTTTCCTCTCATGGATTCCCAACAAGCCTCTCCACTCTTGGGCTTCTTTCATCACTAGGGATAGACACATGGCCCACATTTGCATATTAAAAATTATTTTAAATTAAAAATCTGTTTTTTATTTTCATGAAAAGAATCTATATTAACATTAGCTGTGTGCATAGCTTTTCAGGAGATAAAACCAGTACAAGTTAGTTACAAAGTGGTTCTGAAAGCAATGGGGTCACAGGGGACCAGCACAGAGAAGGTCAGAGCAGGATGACATGAAATGGAAATGGCCATCTGTCCATCAAACTCCTTCATTCTGTAAGCTGTCCTCTGACCTCTTTAAGAGTAATATCCAAAAGAAAACTGCTTCTTATGACCTCTGAATATGTTTTGTGATGGTCCACTACAGGCCAAACCTCAAAACCCCAGTTTAGAGACCTCTAAGGTATAGGAAAAGTATGCTAAGGTCTATTGAGATGAATGTTCTGGTTTAGGCTCTGAAGATAACTATCTGTATGGTCTTGGACAAGCGTATTTTCCTATACTGACCTCAATTTCCTCACACCTAGAGTGGGAAAATCAGGGCATATGGACATCACGGTCATCCACCACCCTAGAATTCTATGATTTCAGTGCACAGGGAATAAGGAGTATTTCAGACGCAAGGTTTCCTAGAAAGAGACCCACAAAGGAGAAGTCAGGAGTCCCTGCTCCTGGTCTAAATCACAGAGAAAAAGGAGACCCTGAGGCATTCAGGATGAGACAAATTGATTTCAGAGTCTATTTTTTTTCCATCCAACCAGTCCATTCTCTTTCCCGCACTGGCAGGCAGCACCCACCTCAACCAATTTTCCTCTGGATTCGCAGTGACTCTTGCCACACGGCTGATGCGCCTAGATCCTCTCCGATCACCACACAGGCATTCACCACTGGCCGAGTGCCACCCCCTCTCTCTTCCCAACACAGCAGACCAGACCAGCCTGCTTCTTGCACTCTGCATTCATGATTTTCTGCTTGCCCCACTCCTTGGTTTCTATGATTCCCTGATACAAGTGCACGTTTTTTCTGCTACTGCTGCCACCTCTAAAGGACTTCTTGCCCAGCCTAGATGGATTGTGTTTAAGTCCTAGAACTAGGCCACAGATCATTGATCAGTGCAGAAAAAGGAATGCTGCTCATTATTATTGTCACCACCTCTACCACCATCATCACTTGAGCCCTTGCATGTGCCAGACCCTGTACTTAGTGTTTGACACGCAATATCTCATCTAATCTTTAAGATAATCCCAGTTTGCAGGAGGGGAAACTGAGGCTCAGAGAGGTGAAATAACGAGTTTATAGACACTGGCAATGGTAAAGCCAGGTTGAAACATGGACCTATCCAATTATTAACATAAGTCTACATTATGACATTTCTTCATCCTTTGTGGCCATATTTTACCATAACTTTTTAGTTTTAATAATTTGTTTTTCAGAAAGAATGGGTAAGTCTTCAGAATAAAACATTAAATGCTACAAAAGGGAGGAACAGTGTGAAAAATACAGTTCTCTACTTATATCCACACACTTTTATATACAATATATAACCACTGTTAATGGTTTCATGTATGTTTTTCTGGAAATATTCAAATATATCATAAACATAAAGTCATACAAATTTTTAACAAAAGTAGAATTAGAATCATAGCACATGTATAGGTATACAACTTGCATTTTTCCTTTAAAAATATGTCTTGACTTTAGTTTAAAAATACATGTTGGATATTTTTTATTAACCAGTCAAGTGGGTTACCTCTAGTTTTTAGCTTTTATAAAAAATTCTACCACAGAAATGTTTGTATAAATATCTTTGCATATTGTATCTCAGTATTCCTAAGGAAAATAATCTCCTAAGTAGATTTTTGCTAAGTCAAAGTGTGTGTGCACTTTTAATTTGGTAGATATTGCCAAAATTGCCTATCTGGGAAGTGTCTCAAATTTGCTACCAAAAACCTATCAAGGTGCCTGCTTATCTCCAGACCCATCAGTATTATCTGTCTTGTTAAGTTTTGACAATCTGATGAGTGTTTTTATTTGTATACATTTAATTAGTAATGAAGATGATAATCTTTTCTTATGTTTTTTAGCTATAGGAGGATTTTAGTGGTTCATACCCTTTTCGCACTTTTTGTTGGGTATTTTGTACATTGAAAGCTATTTGCAGATTAAGGTCACTAGCTTGGCCTCATACGTGTTTCAATCTGTTTTCCGAGATTGAGATCTGACTTCTGGCATTTGTTTATAGTATTTTTTGTTCCATTACAAATACGTTACAAGTAGGACCTTCCATTGATTTTTGTCTCCCTCAGTCCCAGTGTCCCGCCCTGTCCTCACCCTCGGGGCTCCCGGGGCCCAGGCTGCCGTGGGGGACGTGCTGGAGCTCCGCTGTGAGACCCAGAGGGGCTCTCCCCCGATCCTGTACCGCTTTTACCATGAGGGCGTCGCTCTGGAGAGCAGCTCCACGCCATCTGGAGGAGGAGCTTCCTTCAACCTCTCTCTGACTGCAGACCATTCTGGAAACTTCTCCTGTGAGGCCCACAATGGCCTGGGGTCCCAGCGCAGTGAGGCGGTGCCACTCAAAGTCACAGGTAAGTTTCCTAGGCCTGGGCCGCAGATGCGGACAAAACGTTTCCTCCAAAGACACTCTGATACCCCTCGTAATGCTCAGCCAGGACAGTGCCTCTCAGGGACAGGACCGCAAAGCGGGACGTTCTCTAAATTGTTCCTGAAGTCATCGCTTCAGGATGGGAGCGGGGGTCAAGGCTCATTGAGTGCAGTGCTCCACCTGACCCCTCAGCCCTCGTCTCAGCCACAGAAATGAGCCTCCTCACAACGCGAAGAGCCGTTCCCTGTGTGCCCCACGCCTGCCTGGCCTCAGGAGCCCTGGTCCGCTCGGCTGATCCTCTCTCCCAGGCCCAGGCAGCCACTCCGGGGGCTGGGGCGGTTCAAGACCAGAAGCCTCTCCCTGCGGCTCACGCACAGGGTCTCCTCTTTAGGGCTGACAGCGAACAGAAGTGGCCTGACTGCCACCGGCGTCGCCGGGGGCCTGGTCAGCCTGGCGGGTCTTGCTGCTCTGGCGCTGGTGTCCTATTGCAGGCTCTCGGGGAAAGCAGGTGGGTGACTCCCTGGCTGACCCTCGCCTGGGTCCGTGCCCTTCCCATCTCCGTTCCTGCAGGCCCCCCGCTGCCTTTGACCCACCCTCAAGCTCCCTACAGCTCCTCCCCGACAAATCCCAGAATTTATCTTTACAAAGTTTCCAAAACAGCCCCATCGATGGAAGAGGCCTTGAGATGCAGTTTATCCAACATCACAAGCTGCACTGTATCTTCCTCTCTACCCTTACAAGGCCCCCTAGGAATGGGAAAAGGAGAAGAAAGAACTCTGGGACAGAACAGTGAAAACAGAAACCAAACAGGATTTGAGAACTTACTGATTTTTTAAATGTTCATTATTTTCACAGCTGATCACCTGTACTATTGACCATTATTCTTGATACATTCCATGTTACAGGATTATGGGTGTGGTCTCTCCCTTCCTGTTGTGACTATACCCCTCTGGAAGCCAGAGTCAGTAGTTTTTGCCCAATCTGCCACCTCCTTTGGATAGCAAAGAAGAGCTGACGTTTTAGTGACAGCAACGCCTGGCAGGTTCTAGATGAGCCTCCTACGAGCTGTGCTCCCCGTGAAGGCCTCCTTCCCCTGCATCCAATACCCCTTTGCTTTCCTTTGCAGGAGGAAGGCCGACCTCTAAGCCATCCAGGTAAGACCTGGGCTGTATTCCTAAGCGGGTAATGAAATGCCTGTAGGGGCTGAGCCTGGAACTGAGTGTGTTACTGCTGAGAGCTGTCACTGCTTGTGGTGCTGAGACGGGCCGCACCAGTTTCATGTCCCACCCCACCCCGGGATATCTCGAGGCGATTCCTCCCCACCCTCTTATCTTAGCTACACAGGCCTTTTTCTAGCATCAAGTTGTTGATTGCCTTTTATTTATTAGCTTACATCTTTGTAGCACTGTTGTCTTGGTTGTCTGAGTGACCACTGTGATCATGGAATCCCCCCACGTCCTAAGATGGTCTTAGCGTAGTCAGGCTGGGAAGCCCTGGACACGGCCAGTGTAACCAACTCCTGATACGACGACAGCCGAGAACATGGTGCCACACAGCCTGGCCGCCCAGAGAGACCCCTCTGCCCAAAGGAGGGGTGCCCGAGAAGGAAGGGCTGCCATCTTGGGTCCCAAGGTCTGACTCTGGGAGCCATGCCACAACTCCTAAACTATCCCCAGCGAGCCCATGGGGGCAGCACCCCAGCCACCCCGTGTTCCTCCTGCCTCCCCCGTTTTCTCTGAGATCCTGAGCGGGGGCTTTGGAGCCAGGTGTGAATCTTGGGTTTTTCCCTGTCTAGCCACAGAGTCTAGAACTATCATTTCACCTCTTGCAACCTCCATTTCTTTCAATATCAACTTAATATTGTTATAAGCACTAGCACAGTGCCTGGGATACTGTAAAGTCCGGAAACACAGATGATATTAATTTATCATGCTTCATAACAGACCATGACAACAGACCATTTGCTATGTACTCATCTGTGTCTCCAGGCTCGGCAACCAACCTTTGGTAAAGACGCACTTACTAGGAATGATCGTTCTAGCATCTTTGCTCAGGTTTGGGGAAACATCAGTGTTTCTGTCTCATAGGAGCTCTTCAGACTCAGACTCCCAAGAGCCCACCTACCACAATGTTCCAGGCTGGGTAGAAATGCAACCAGTGTACAGCAACGGTGAGGCCCGGGGACTCGCTGTGGGGCAGGGAGGACCCCAGGCTTGGTCGGGAAGGGGTGGGGCAGCAGCTGAGGAGGGGACTGTGCAGCCCCCAGGAGGGATCTAGCCCTCCAGAGAACGAGCTATAGGTGGGGGAGGAGGAAGTGGTTAGACAAGAGGTAAGAACCTTACATCCTCTCAAATTTCAACTTCTTTCCAAGTAAATCCTCGACAAGGAGAGGTGATATACTCAGAAGTCCGGGGAATTCAGAAGAAAAATTCACATGCAGGTAAGATCTGAATGGCCCTGGCTTTTGACAGCTGATTATCACGCGTGGCCCTCCAGACAGAGGTCCCTCTTCTGGACTCCAGGGCTTCTTGACTTGCGCCCACCTTCCTGACAGCTGGAGTTAATCCAAGCCCCCTGGGCAGCGCTGCTTTCTCCATTCTCCACAGATGGCCTCAGCATAAGCTGAGCACAAAGCCACCACCCTGGGCAGCCACGTAACCTCTGTAAGCTTCAGCGTTCCCAACTGTGAACCGAGACAGGACCACCATTCCCTACCTACCTGTTACCAGTTTCCTATTGTCACTGTGGCAGGTGCCCACAAGCCTGGTGGGATTTTGATCTCCCTGTGTGTAGGTCACAGGTCAACTGGGCTACACTCAAGGTGTTGGCAGGGCTGCACATTCCCTTCTGGAAGCTCCAGGGGAGAGCGCATTTCCTGGCCTCCTCGGCTTCGCAGGGACACCCCTTTCCAGGGCTCGCAGCTCCCTTCTCCTACCTTCAAAGCCCACAATCGTGCATCTCTCTCAGCACTGCTCTTCCACAGTAAGGTCACCCTCTGAGCACAGCTGGGAGAGAGTCTCTGATTTTAAAGTTCTTAAAATCCCACCTGGACAATCCGGGAAAATCTCCCCACTCCAGGGTCTTTGGTCACATCTCTAAGGTCCCCTCTTCCATCTCACGTTGCATTATTCACAGGATCCAGGGATGAGGGCACTGACGTCTTTGTCGAGGGGGCATTATTTTGTCTGCCACACTCTCTCTCAGGGGTATTGTGAGGATCAGATGAGAAACCCTCCAGAGAACGAGCTATAGGTGGGGGAGGAGGAAGTGGTTAGACAAGAGGTAAGAACCTTACATCCTCTCAAATTTCAACTTCTTTCCAAGTAAATCCTCGACAAGGAGAGGTGATATACTCAGAAGTCCGGGGAATTCAGAAGAAAAATTCACATGCAGGTAAGATCTGAATGGCCCTGGCTTTTGACAGCTGATTATCACGCGTGGCCCTCCAGACAGAGGTCCCTCTTCTGGACTCCAGGGCTTCTTGACTTGCGCCCACCTTCCTGACAGCTGGAGTTAATCCAAGCCCCCTGGGCAGCGCTGCTTTCTCCATTCTCCACAGATGGCCTCAGCATAAGCTGAGCACAAAGCCACCACCCTGGGCAGCCACGTAACCTCTGTAAGCTTCAGCGTTCCCAACTGTGAACCGAGACAGGACCACCATTCCCTACCTACCTGTTACCAGTTTCCTATTGTCACTGTGGCAGGTGCCCACAAGCCTGGTGGGATTTTGATCTCCCTGTGTGTAGGTCACAGGTCAACTGGGCTACACTCAAGGTGTTGGCAGGGCTGCACATTCCCTTCTGGAAGCTCCAGGGGAGAGCGCATTTCCTGGCCTCCTCGGCTTCGCAGGGACACCCCTTTCCAGGGCTCGCAGCTCCCTTCTCCTACCTTCAAAGCCCACAATCGTGCATCTCTCTCAGCACTGCTCTTCCACAGTAAGGTCACCCTCTGAGCACAGCTGGGAGAGAGTCTCTGATTTTAAAGTTCTTAAAATCCCACCTGGACAATCCGGGAAAATCTCCCCACTCCAGGGTCTTTGGTCACATCTCTAAGGTCCCCTCTTCCATCTCACGTTGCATTATTCACAGGATCCAGGGATGAGGGCACTGACGTCTTTGTCGAGGGGGCATTATTTTGTCTGCCACACTCTCTCTCAGGGGTATTGTGAGGATCAGATGAGAAAGGAGGTGTGGAAGGGGCATGAACACAGCAGAGGGCTGGGCAGCTTTGATGGTGACCCTATGCGCTTGTCTGGCTGTGTCGTTAACATCACTTACGGGAGCTGCTCTGCGGTGAAGGACCCCAGCCTGGCTTCCTCCTGCTAGGAGCAAGAAAGCGGGACAACAGCCTTTATGGCAGACTCCTTTCTAATTCTGCTCTGTAAAAAGGGCTGTGTGATTTTAGCCATTCTACTTCCCTCTCTGGTTTTCTGATCCGTGTTGTATAAAATCAAATGAGCAGTGTTTGTGCCCCTTCTGGTTCAATGGCCCACCGCTAACACATACGAACTCCTTCACACTTACTGCTGCCTTTCAGGTGAGTAAAGCTATTATCCCCATTTTACAGATGTGGAAACTGAGGCAGACTTAAATGGCTGGCCTGAAGTCACATAGCCAGTAAAGCACAGACCCGTCAGTCTCCAGTCCAAGACTTGCTACCCAGCGCAGTTCCAGGGAGCCCCAAGGCTCGTGCCCAGACAGGGCACGTGCCAGACAGAAGGAGAGAGCCCTATTTGAAGAATGTCATATTTCATTCCAGTTTTAGGAAATATAAAAATAATAATAATTCCTAACATCACGTCAGTATGTGTTGAACTGTTCCCATGTGCAGATACAGATGATTTATATCGTCTGTTATAAACAAATATATGATAAAAAAATATACATGTATATACTTATACTTTGTTTGTTTACAGCACTCAAAGCTGTTCCTGGCACATAGGAACTGGTCAACACTTGATAGGTATTAGAAAATACATACACGCACAAATAAACTCATGTAAATTTACAATAAGCCTATAGGTAGACGATATTATTATTCCCATTATATAGAGGAGAGAACTGAGCAGGAGCTGCTGGGTGACATGCCCAAGGCCGCAGAGGTGGCACGGCTGCCCCGGGGCTTAGTCTGAGGCGGCCTGGGTCTGGAGGGTGCTCTCTAAACACCGCTCTGCCTCTCTCCTGGCCAGGCTGCTTCGCCAGGACACATACTATGAGGCTATGAATAACAGGATAGAAGGTATATTTCTCTCTTTTGAGAGCCCCCAGGGGGCTCAAAGTGGGGACAGCATGTGAAGTGACGTTGAGGTGGTCAGATTTGTGAGGCTGAAAATCGGAAGGCGTGGCGACAGTACAGGGGCAGGACCCAAGGAATGGCTGTCAGCTCACAGGAAAGGCAGCCACCCCAAGGAGGGCTGTGGCCGGGCTGACAGCACAGATGCAGGGCTGGAGCCCTGAGAGGGCATCCCGCGGCTGAGCGCTTCCCTTCTCTCCCCAGCGGCCTCCTCTGCACCGGGGCTCCAGAGCAAGGTGAGTCGTGTGGCCTGCACGCCCCGCACCCCCATGGCCTGCTGGGCTCTGGCCCTCACCTGTGCTCTCTCCCCCAGGATTCCTCTGTCATCTACACTCAGGTGAAGAGAGCTTCAGCCCCAGCCTGCAGGCCCCAGCTCTTGGCTTCCTCGGCTCCGCACAGATGAGTCCACACAGCTCTCGGACTGCTTTCTCAGCCTCTGCACCCCAAAGCCATCCTTGGAGGAGAAGGGATACTGAAGTGGGAAGATTTAAACTGCCCCAGGCCACGTCCAGGGGCCTCCATGTTAAGTGTCTGCGCCCTCCGTGTGATGGGGACACAGGGCCCTGCAGGACCGCCTCCTCTTCCCAAGGTCCAGCCCTGCCCTCGCCTTCTTGTCTAAGGCCACGGCTCCCCTCCCGGGGCCCACCATGTCCCCTGGCTGCCTGAACCCAGGACAACTTCTCTCCTGTGCACGTGCCAATATCTCCCTGCCCGAGTAAGGGTTTTTCACAGCCCAAGACCCTTTCCATCCTGCGGGAAGTAACCCAGCACACTCAGGGCCTGCAGGACCGAAGGATGCAGATAGAATGCGTGTCGGAATATAGGGGGCGCTCCGTTACTGTTTGCATGAGGAAGTGAAGGGATGGATGAGGAAGACTATGGGTAATTACGAAGCCTTCCTCCCCTTGAACTGGCTCACAATTCAGTGTGCTCCCTGGGAAATCCAGGAACGACTCCTCTGCCTTCCCCGAGTCAGAATAAACCAAGAGGAGTTTGGATAAAGCAAGCTCTGTTCACCAAGCTGGCTGGGGTGGGGTGGGGGGAGCCAGAAGGGGGCTTCTCAAACTTAACTTTGCTTAAGGATCACTGGGGATCTTGTTAAGATCCACTGGGTGGAGGCGCAATCCTGCCTTTCTAACACACTCGCAGCTGATGTGGCTGGTCCCGGGACCACAGCCGGTACCGAGGCCCTGCAGGCCAGGCACCACGGCCTCAGCGCATTCCCGCAGCTCCCACCGCACCCTGCGCTGCCCTCCCACTAGAGCCCCACCAGCGGCTGTTGCTGAGAGAGCTTCTCAGCCACATGCTGGGTGTCATCAGCCACCCTGGGTGGGGAAAGTAGCTGCCGCCACCTTTATTTCCCCTCCTCACTCCCCAATGAAAAAAGGGAATGGATACACTGCGAATAAACACACCTCTCAGACTTCCCCATCCCAAGTCCATCTCTCCCACCTCTGAGTCATGGGTTGTTTTGTTCCACTTTTCTGATGTCCATCACACCCTATCTTGCTCTCCACCTTCCGGTGCTTCCCTGAGTCTTAAAAGCACTTGCCTCTACTGGTTTCACAGATACAGCCACAACTTCAGTGCTGGCACATGAGGCTTCAAAACTTGAGAACTAAAAATAGAGAATTCAGGAGTGCAAAGTGCGCAGCAAGAGACAGAGGCTTCTGCTCCAGCCAGGGCCGACGGCGCTGTGCTTTGGTGCTGCCCACCCGGCAGAGGCTGCGTGCGTTCTTTACTGGATGTGTCTTTAAAGCCATCAGTCTGTTTGGAGCTGAGCTGGCTGCTGAACTTGAAAGAAGAGCTCTGAGCCGTAGGCTGTCGTGTTTTGTGGTAGGTCTGGAGTTTGGACAAGGCTTTGACCAAGGGCTGTAGGGCTGCAGATGCACACGCTGACCATTAGGCAGTGGTGAGCAGGTGCGCTGGACTCTGAGGGCTGGAGCGGCCCAAGACACAGCTGTGCTAGTCCTGCCACTGTGGATTCAGGCAGCTGCTTCTGTCAGCCAAGCGTCCCAGTTCCTCCTGGCACCTGGGGGCATGCACCTCCCACCCCCACTCTGGGGCTCCCTGTTGGGCTGAAGTGCAGCCATGCAGGGAAGTTGACTTTGACAATGGGACATTGGAGGCAGTGGATTGATTCTGTTCCTATTCCTCCTCTCCATCCCCAACTCATATGCCTCAATCAGAGGTGCAAAAACCTTTATGGCCTCCCTTAGGACACCCAGAGGGAACAAGCAATCAACTTGCTGCAAGCTGTAGCCAGGTTGGGGATACACACCTTTAAATGTGCTCTCTTCTTCCCCAGCCTCTCTCCCATCCTCTCTCCCCTGCTCCCAGGATTCAGTCACCCATAATGTGTTAACACATGAGCTTCAGCTCCAGGCTATTTTCTAGGAAACCCGGGCTAGGACAGCAGGTCCCATAGGCCTTAGCAAGTGGGAGGGCGTGGCGAGGACCTAAACAAAGCCAGCATCCTTGGAAAGGGACCCACTTTTTTCTCAACAAGTGTGGTTTTCCTAGCCATAAAAAAGAATCTTTTTATTCAGGCCTTTGACTCATTGGAAGCCAGGGCAGTATTTCCTGCTTTCAATGCAAGGTAGACTTCCACAAGCATCGCATAGCTTCCCAAGCTGCTTGGGAAGGCGGGACTGAGCCCGTTGACCCAGCCTCAGTGGAGACTTTCAGAAAGGAAACCAGACCAGAGACACGAGTCAAAAACCACAGCCCTGGGCTGCCTGGGCATGAGGGAGAGAGGTTTTTCTTCACTACAGACCTGCAGCTGCCATGCAGATGGGACAAGAGAAAAGCATTCCCTAGACGTGGGGTTTTAGGCCTAACTCAAATCAAAAGATGAACAACAGCCCGAGTAGCTGGGGACTAAAGAGGAAAGTCTGCTCACAGCCAGTTACGGAACCACATTACCAAACTACCCAGTGCAGCGCTGAGCAGGCATAAGCCCCTGGCTCAGAAATGGAAATTTTTAAATTCCTCTGTGGGAAAGAAAGGCCCCTCCAAGGTGGGTTCCCACCTCTGCCCCAGGACGGTACATGCACAGGGGTGAAACAAACCTCTTGTTGGAAGATTTCTCCCACTTGAGTTAAAATTAGAGACTCCAGACAGATAGGAAGGTTGATGACATTCTGGTGAAACTAACATTCCAAGGATGTTTTCCTTTGGAAAGATGTCCGTTCAAGTCCTGTGCCCTTATCTCAATGGGACCGATGGTTTGTTCTGACGTTAAGTTGTGTAACAGTTCTTTGTATGTTTTGGATATCAGATGTTTGTCTGATTTCACTTACATGTGGAATCTAAAAGACAAAATAAATGAGCAGAGCAAACAAGCCGGACTCAAAGACACAGGAAACCAACTGGTGGCTGCCAGAGCCAGGAGCCCCTGGGGGTTAGGAGGAATAGGTGAAGGGGAGAGAGAAGAATAATCTTCCAATTATAAAATAAATAAGTCATAGCATGTGTGTGCAGCCTAGGGAATGTAGTCAATAATATTGTAGTAACTTTGAATGGTGACAGATGGCAACTAGATTTGTAATGGGGCATCATTTTGTAATGTATAAAAATACCAAATTACTATGATATACACTGAAATTAATAGAATAGTGTATGTCAATTGTACTTTAAAAAAATATTTTCCATACACTCTCCATGATTCACGTATCAGTCTCTTTGGCAATGCTAAATGTTGAGCTCTGGGCACATAATTTTATGGGGGTCACTGGTTTAGGAGCTTGAGATTGGCTTCTTTTCTAAAGTCAGCAAGTCTAAGGCTGTGCTGCAATAGGCTGACATGTCCCATTAACGCTCTAGATTCTTATAAATAGTGTCTTTCTGCTCAGGCTGCTATAACAAAATACCACTGTGGTGGTGTATCAACAGTAGGAATTTATTTCTTACAGTTCTGGAAGCTGGGAAGTTCATGATCAAGGTGCTGGCAGATTCAGTGTCTCGTTAGGGCTTAATGCCCTGTTCAAAGACATGCCCTCACATGGCACAGGACATGCCCTCACGTGGCACAGGGGGCAAGGGTGGGCTCATGACCTAATCACCTCCCAAAGGCCCCACCTCCTCACACCATCACACTTGGGATTATGTTTCAACACATGAAACTGAAAGGGGCACATACATTCAGTTTGTAGCAAATTATAAAATACTTCATCTACCAGCTAACCTTGGGATAATTTGAGCATGAAAAATAATATTTTTCCCTTAAAGGAAAAGAAAGAGCAGGCAAAATCTCCTCTTGCCAATAGGCAACAGATAATAAACAGAGAAGTAACACTGACGGTAGGATATCACCACTTTGCAATCCCATGGGTAGCAATTGATTCAGGCAGGGATCACCCGGGGATGTTAGAATTCCTGGACGAGATGCACCCGGTCCCAATGCATCACCGCCCCAGGACTTGTCGATCAAAAGCGAACTGTACCTGCACGATGGACAGATCTGGCAGGGTCGGTCTTCATGCTCATGAAGCGATCCAGCATCGTATCACTGGCGGTGGGCGGCGGGGGTGACGCTGACCCTGGGGACTCCCTATGTGGCATGGTGGGAAGTCGTGTCTTACCCATGGAATGCTCTCATCAAAGAAGCTGACCCAGAAACTACTGGAGGGGACACACAGATTCAGATCATGGGCCATTCTGAGACACCTCAAAACCGTCAGTGTTGTGAAAGACAAAACCAGAAGTGTATCCAGACAAGGGGGGCCGGAGAGACATGGTGACCTAATAGAGACGTTGACTAGATTCTGGATCCAAAAATAAAGCCATAGGAGAGATTTGGGGGGCCCAGGGAAAACCTGAAATGGGCTATAAAACATTGACACTGTTGCATCAATACTCTGATATCACTTGAAAAATACTTTGAAAATATTTGAAATACTTTATTCTTTCAACTTTGCTGAGATTTGAAATTTTAAAAAATAAAACCCTTTGTGGGGGAGAATGGAGCACCTCAGACAGTTAGTACTGATCCGTGCTCTGAGGTGTTGATAGGATTCCACCCAGTCCTGGGAGCCCCCCTTTCCCACTACCACTGTGGAAAGAATCAAACCCTACTTCACTCAGGCACTGAGTTTTCCTGGCCATGGGCAGAAACAAACAAGACATCAAAGGTGAGGACCAGTTTTTAACTTAAAATATTTTACTTTCATTTCCTTGGGAATCTCATCTTTGAACTGTCCTACCACCCTGAGGATTTCCTAATGGGATGGAGTTTTTTTTCAACATCAGGGTATCTTTGGGTCAGCATGTTACAATTGGAATACCAAATGCCACTGGATCTGATTGCCGAACCCCTGACAGATTGTTAGAAATAAGCGCAAAATAACTTGGCATGAGTCATAGAACAGAGGAAACTCTCAGCTTCACACTTTGTTCATTGTTCTAATTTGACTTAAGAGCTCTCAAGGGACAAAGCCTCACCTGCCCGGCAAGTGTTTCCAGGAACCTCACTAAGGCAGAATATCTGGTTTGAGGGAACAATCCCGCATAGGTGGGATTAGTATAGATATCTTTCTGCTGATGGACCACAGGCTTAGTTGATACACACAATGGGCTGAAGGAAAAGTGAGGGAACATTAGAATGTTTCCCTCTGTTTTCCACTGAGTGGGTGATGGTCGTGCATTCACACACCTTCCGTGATGAATCTACTCCACCCACATCCTAAGCATGGGATTTGTTCTCTTCCTCTCTCCGCCCAGGACCAGGGTAAGCCTGCAATCTAGGTTAAGTGTGTCTTCTCTGAAGAATGAAACTCTCCCTCAATGCGCCATCTCAAGTTCCAGCCTGAAGAGCAGGCAGTTAGCCATTTGGCTTTCACACCTCAGCTTTATTAATCATTTAAGAGGGCTCTGCAAAAAACGAATCCATAGTGTGTGTGTGGTGGGGGGTGAGGAGATTGATTTATTATAAGGAATTAGCTCATGTGATTATAGAGGCTAAAAAGTCCCAAGATTTGCATTTGGCAAACTAACTGGGGACCCAGAAGAGCTGCTGTTGTAGACCTGATCCAAATGCCAGCAGGATCGAGACCAGGAGCCAGTATTTCAGTGGGATTCCAAGGCCGGAGGAAAATCAGTGTCCCAGCTGGAAGCTAGTCAAGCAGGAGAAATTCCCTCTTACTTGGAGGATAGTTGGTTTTGTTTGTTTGTTTCTTTGTTCTATCAAGCCTTCAACTAATTGGATGAGACCCACCCACATTGGGGAGGGCAATCTACTCAGTCCACGAAGTCAATCTTAACCTCACCCAGAGACACCCTCACAGATACCCAAATGTTAATCCAAATAACTGGGCAGCCCGAGGCCCAGCTAAGTTGACACATAAAATTGACCGTCAAAGTCATAAATCTGGTCTATTGGCTCCATTAAATCCTCTGGTTTATTTCTCATTTGGTTCAGAACTCTGACAGGGAAGAGGTATACTATTTTGGGGGTCTCCTCAAAGAGGGGAGGTGTCTGCAAGGCATCCCTCACTTTTGTGGTTAAAAGAATGTCAACCATTCCAAGGGTAATGTTTTGTCTGTTGTCCCCCCTCAGGGTCCATCTTTCTCTTTGACATCTGGCTGACCTGCACAATATCTCCTGATGTAATTCCTACTTCAATTAGCCAACCATGTTGCCTTCCCACCCCGCCATCCCCTCTGATCAATACTGCCCACTCAACAGAGACCTAACTCATAAGAATATAGCTATAATTTATTGATGAATTAGTAAGTATCAGGCGTCATGCTAACCATGTTGCATAAACCATTTAAATCCCATAATAAGCCTTTGCAGGAAGTATCCATTACTGCCCCTTTTACAGATGAGGAAACTGCATCTTAGAGAGATTGCATAATTTACCTAAGGCCACGCATTAGTGAACTGGAACTAGAACTGTCCAGCCCCAAAGTGCTTGCTCTTAGCCACTTCACCCAATGTCCTTGGTGGGCTTCATGGGTTGCTGGTCGTTTTTGGACAGAGACAGTGATGAAGAAGTAGAAGAGCACATGACATGTGGAGTCGGAAGGCCCCCGTCCTGAGTGGGCCTTGACCACTCACTATCTAGCCTGTTCGAGCTCTGGTGACCTCACCTGTAAAACAGGAAGAAAAATAACAGCTCCTTGACTGGATTGCACATTGAAGGAGATAGTGTTTGTGTAAACACTGAGCAGATGTTCTCCGGAGCCGGTGGGGAGGAGCCTGCGATCGTTAGCAGCGTTTGCCCTGGTTTCTGTTTGCCCTCATCGGTCTGCACCCCATTATTTCAGTGAAGCAGCTGCTGAATGGCCAAAATGATAGTCCAGAAGAAAACGATGGAAAATGAATTGGCATACTTTTCAACAGGAGGGGCATCGGCTAATTAGGTGGGAGGTACGGAAATACATGGGTTCAGCATTTTTAGCATCAGGAACTGACTTTTGTGATTTGAGTGTTATTTGGTTGTTTCCCAGAGAAATAAAAGCAAAGCAGCGGTTTCCTAGATGCATTTTTCCAAGTCTCTTATTCACAAAAAGGCATGTTGTTTGCTTACAAGAAGGCTTTGAGTAAATACTAATTCCCCGGGCAGGGGCCCAGGATATCCTGCTGCTCCAGGTTTCCTGGCATCAGGCAGCTGAAGAGATCAAGGACTAGGATGAAAAGAAATAAAATGGAAGTTTCGTCGGGATGATGGGCACCTCAGGCTGTCAGTCCGCGCTCCAGCCTCCCCTCCCCTGTGCCCGATCACGTGTTCTCATCCAGCTCTCTCCTGTGCTTGCTCCGCGCCTCTGAACCCACATGTCCACCTGTTGTTTCCAAGTGGAGAACCACAGTGAAAACCGACAGATAGGCCTTGTCCAGAGCTGACCATGTGACCACATCAGTGAGAAGGGGCGAGAACGGGGAGAAGGGGTGAAAGAGCAAGGCCGAGAGGCAGATGCCCCCCACTCCCCTTCCTTCCAGCCATTTAGGCTGCCCTCTCTCATCAAGGACACTCAAACTGCCTTGCCAAAAAAGAGTAAGGTCTGTGGGGTAGGGAAAAGAAGTTCTCGGGCCATAACTATGGAGTAACAGGAGTGCTGGGGTGAACGACAGGCCGGGGAATGGCTCAACAGCACGCAGCAGGGCCGGGCGCCCCAGGCAGTGACTCAGGCTCTGAGCGCTGGGAGAGACCAGGGAGAAAGTCTGTCATCCAGTTACCAAATCTTATTGTTAGTGGAGGACTTGAAGGTCATTCACTCTTAATGCTTTTCTTGCTTGAGTCCCTCCACATTATGCTCACAGAGACATCATCCAGTCTGTGCTGGAATACCCCCAGGGCCAGGGAGCTCAGCACCTCACATGGCCTGAAATTGCAGAAAGCCAGAGCCGGAGAGAACCCTCGACCCCAAGAGGTCCAGTGGATGCTGGTGCAGGGAATCCCCAAGCCTCCCGCTACCCTTCGTGGCTCCAGAAGCCACCTCCCCATGACTCTGACCCTTAAAGAGACT